AGCGACCCAGGGTGAAATTGTTCAAGAGCTCCGCCGTGGATTCCCGTTGACGCTTGTCTCGCGGCCGTCAGCTAACTGTGCCCGGCCGAATTCGCGGAATTGAATCGTTTAGAACCGAGGATTATCCCGTTCCGAGCGTGCTCTAATTAAAGTTATGGCCGGCACGATTCGCCGGAATGAAACGATTCGAATTAACGTTGCGCGGCCGGCGAGAATTCGGCTTTCCAGTTTGCCGCTTCGTTTGGAATTTCCGTTACTGTCGGTTTTGGTGGTTATTCGATGTCGATTAAATGTTCGAGCGCCTACCTTTTCTCGTTCGGTTTAGAGAAGTATGGATATAGGGGATGTAGGGAGTGTGATATGTTTTGCATTTTCTATTCTGTATTTTATATTAATTAAATCGACATCAATCTCTCACGGCGGAATCATATTTTTCAATCTCTATCATTTTTAATGTAATGCAACGACCCGCCACGTTGAGCCGCCTCTCTCCACGCTGTACGACGTCGACTGTTCTTAAAATGTCCGACAACTCCGCGTCCACCATCGAAGTGTCACCCGAACTCGTTAAAAATTCCTGTTAACCCGGTTTGCCAATTCTCCGGAAAAATCGTTATTCCGTTGACGTTGAAATAATGTTAACAAAAGTTTTTCCCAATTTTTGCCATTCGCTTAATACTGCCCCACACAAACATTTGAAATTATTTTTGGATTGGGTCTGAATTAGTGATGAACTAAAACTTAAAAAATGTCTGGGTTAGGTCCGCACTAATACTAGGTTTACAGAACACATCAATTTAACGCACACCGAATTATAAACATTATTCGTCAAACGTTCATGTCAATTTTTATTGATTCAATTGCACGATACGTATCCTAATTTCTGTTCCTCAACCCCTATCTCCCGACATCTAAAAAAATGAACATCAATTGCTCTAGAAACAATAGAATAAACTGTCCAATAAATATCCATATACCCAGTATTAATAATAATCTAAGAAAAGCTTAGGTCTAGGTTAGTGATAAGCTATAGCTTGTAGGGAAAACTAGGTTAGGTCTGACTTTGTGATAAACCATAGCTTAAAAAGAACTGGGTTAGTGATAAGCTAAAGCTCGAAGGAAAAACTAGGTTAGGTCTGCGATAATCTAAACCTCCAACAAGAGAACTACTCTGAAATCTGAAGAAATCGTTGGACTACAAATTTATTATAATTCTTTCCAGGGCGGCATCGACGCTGAGGTGTTCGTCCAGGATGGCAGGAACGAGCCGAGGATCTCGGCCAGGACCTAACCAGTCTACGCCAGTGAACCGTCGCGGCGGAACCTGGTTTTCGTGCGATTAAGAGTCCGCCGCTCCTTCAGGAGGGCCGAAAGGGGTGGAGCGCAGGGGTGGTGGTTCTTGGCATCGCGGGGATCGAGATGAGCGATCTACAGGCCACTCTCGAGTTCTCCCTCGAGCTCTGCAAGTTCTACAATGTCGACCTGTTCCAGCGTGGGTAAGCGGATCCGGCTTTCCACGCTTTGCCGGGCGCGACTCGGTCCCGTAATTGCGAGGGCTTAGCCGAGCTCATCGACGATTTCCAATTTCGCAGGTATTACCAGATCCGAACCGCCCTACGAGTGTCGCCGAAACTCCCTGTTAAGGTGGAGGTTAACCAGCTACGGAACCGTGAGTGCATATTTTCGTTGGTGCATCGCTGTGCATTTCAATTGCGACTCCGAGAGATCATTAACTTAATGAAGTTCATTTTCACGTTTACACTCGCGAGAGGCCGGAGATGTTACCTCTTTTTCGTGGCTGCCAATATTCATGGGGTGAGATTCATCCTCGGAGTTGTTTAAGGGTGAAATGGGAATTAGTGAGTTTATTATTTGTTCGATGAAAGGAGACGATTTGGTTGTCTTCTTGAAACGAATTGGTTCTGTAGATTATAGATTATTGATTGGATAATGTTTATGTTTAGAAGATTTGTGTATTTAAGGATGAAGCACAGTTGAAATGCTCATGCACAGGAATATGTTATTTTGAGTTTCTTCGGTTCGATTTATTTTAAATCTATATTCAATGGTGTATGCTTCTTCAGCTTTCTCATTGCAATATTTCTAGGATCCGTATAATCCTCTGAAAATTGAATAACAAAACGGTCCTACCACAGTTCACGCTTCAATCACAAGTCAATCAAACTTTAATCAATGCGCGTCTTAATTTCATACGAATTGACACTAAAATTTTCGATTAATCTTTTAATCAGTCGATTAGACTGTTGATTCCAGTAAATGAAAGATGTTTAACAAATGGGAACAATCTTTTATCGATGTGTTTTCAAGAATACGATAGAATGACAATAGGAGAGAAGTGTGTTCCCATGAATCACGTTCGTTTCGATGTAACTCCGTCGCGTGTCCAGCGATCCTCTGAACTTTCTTGCTCCCTGAAAAGCGGGGGCGGGAAGAGGGGGGTGGGGAAAGTTTCTGGTACATTGCACTCGTCTCGCCAGAGAAAACTCCGGCTGAATTCACTTACCGGCTCTCAGTTAGACAACGGAAAACTAGTTCAAACCGAACTGCACTCCGACAGCGATAGCATTAGAAAGTTCGTGGGACGATTCTCCGAGTCGCAGACATTGTGGACTGCAAATGGGCTGTTCAATGGGCGGACAAAAAACCAATCATAGTCGCTCCGTACTTAATTATAAATTGACAGCGGATGTTCACGATAATTCCGACCTTTATAGACCAATAGAAATTTATGCTCATTGGAGGTTTTATTTTTAAGAATTTTATTCCTATTCATTGGTTGTGAATGAAAAACTTCAGGCAAGCTTGGACTGTTTTCAAATTATTTTATCACATTACATTTTATCATATTTTATTTTAGGTAGACTGTAGATATTTATGGTTATACTTTTATTTGCTTGTAAAATTAAAGGACACAATGAAATATAATACTAGAAACTGTATCTGCAGGAAATAAAACTCCACTTTCTCGGAAGTTGTCTATAGAAACTGGAATTTGCAGAAACATTTGCAGCCTATTCATAATAAATCAAAGTAATATTGTTGTAGGGAAAGTTAAATATAAACGCTCAAAGAGTCGCGTTCCGTGGATTACACATTCAACGTAGCCGCCATTTCGCTTGCGAAGTTCTCTGAAACTACGGTAAATGTAAATGAAGATTTATGACATTTAATTACGAGATTGCCTGGTTTTTGTAAGAGAAAGTGCATTCTGATTCACGGAGCTCCGAGTTCATTCCAAACAACATTCAATTTCGTCAGCAGAGTAATTACATGCGCAGAGTATGCAAAAAATGTAATATTCATCGGCAACTTCGAGTGATTAAATTGTGATTATTAACCTGTAGATTCCATGCATCTATATGCTAATTACATGCAAAATTTATTCGATCCGACTAAAATTTGCAGCAACAAGGAAAACAAATAAATACATACGAACATTAAAAACATTACCTCCGCATAAATAAAAACAACAAAATCCTAAACAAGTAGGATTTAGTAGGAATCCTAAAGAAGTAATCCTAACCAAAGAGAATTAAATTTATCAAAAAATTAACCATCGCCCACCTCGTCGCAAATCACTCCCAAAAAACCACAACTCCCGCGAACCTGCGCTCCCTGCAACACACACCCCCAACAAAACCCACGAATCCCATCCAACAATGCAACAAACGCCGGGCCTCCCCGCAGAAGCCAAGAGCGACGGTAGCAATGTGGATGACCTATCCCTCTAACCGAGACGCGACTCATTCCGAAGATGCATCAGACGCTTATGCCTGGCGTATCAAGGGGTTATCTAGACGAGCATCCACTCAAATCATACACAACCGCATACTGCCAGCAACCCCCTGCTCCCCCATGCCCTAACCGCCGTTTCTCGCGACACCGAAATTCAGAAGACGCGACCGTTCGGTCGGTCCGTCCATTGTTCCAGACTCGTTGGAGGCGCCTGGGACGAGCAAGCGCTTTCAGATCCTCTACAGAAACGAGGAGGTGACACTCGGCACTTCGGTCCTATTCCGGGCGCACGTGCTCGTGCACAGTCACAAGATCGAGGAGGTGCTCTCCCGCACCCACTTCAATCTCGGCGTCGAGCTATGGTTCAGCGAGCCGACACAGCCCGGCAACATGGCCTGCGTGTCGTCTAGGTAAGGAGCGAGTCTTCCGTCGTCGACGCCGCGGCGCAGCGTCCTTCACGTGAGGCCTGCCATCCGCGACGATCGCAATGATCTCCCCGGGAAACGATATTGCGGTCTCAGACGGGGAGATTGCTACACGCCGGCCCGGTTATACGAGGTCCGTGGGACACCGACGTCGCCGAAAGGCGTACAGAGTGCCCGTTCAGGATTTCGAGAGGGATTTTCGGGTTACGCTTGGACGCTGAATGGGAAGATTCGGGATTTACCGGGGCCTGGGGAGATATAGCTTGAAGATAGATGTAGAAGTGGAAGGCTTTGAGGTTGATGTCCTGGGGAGAAGTTCGTTGACCTCCAAAGTGGGCAATTCGAATGGTAGCTCCTTTTGTATTGAAGTTTTTGGGGAAGTTTTATTGGAAGTTTGTCAAAGAATTGTTTGTATTAAATTGAATTGAATAGGCTTCGGGGGGCTATTTCTGTTAAGAATTCGTGACAGAATTGTTTGTATTAAACAATTTTAAGGAATTATTTCAGAGTATTGAGTTTGTCGTGTTCGAAAGGTACAGTTTGTGATTTGTGTTTAGTTTATTTTGGTTACGTTGGGGTTTTATAGGAACTACTAATTTCTTCGTGATTGACTCTGGAGGAAGGTTATACTATATAGCTTTAATGTAAATATTTAAGTTTGGGGTTTACGTAAAAGCGTCTGCAAACAGCAGATAATTGTTACAAAGTTCTGGTATAGATATAGACAACGGAGCGTCCCGTGAACTTCTTTCAAGGTGTCGGAACTTCCCTACAGACCTAATAGATAAAGTGATCGATAACCTTGGCCGCGTGCGCCTCAACGTTCACAGGTTGAAGGTTTGACGAGCGTCGTCTGGTTTTTTCGCTTTGTAGGGCGTTGCAGCTGAACTTCGCGCCGACTAAGGGGCTTCACTATCATCTGCCGGTACTCTTCGATTATTTCCATCTCGCCGCGGTATCCATCACGATCCACGCCTGCCTCGTTGCACTCCACCAGCCCTATATCAAGTCTGTATCACCCCGTTATTTTAAGTAACTTATAATCATACTATTACTGACCAGGATCGTCTCTGTCTGTTCTTACAACTTTTCGTTTCCGCCGTTTCGCGCAGGAAGAGCATACTTCACTACGTGCAGAGTTGGTGAGTCTCTTATCGAAATGTTCTTTTTATAATAAGATTAAACAAAAATATTTATTTATAATTACACTGTAGAAGTTTATACATTTATCATGTCCTAAGATCTTGAAAAAATTGAAAACCGTAAGATTGTCAGAGTTTAATATGATTTAGGTTTATTTTTAATTTGTAAACAGAATTAATGAAAGAAATAGAATTTTAATTTGCATATTTGAAAGCCGGTTTATGAAATTGTAATTTATATAATATCCATTACTTATTTATTGAAATGGATTCACTAGAGAAATATTATTTCTGCAATATATTTAGAAAAGTTCCATAGAAGACATATTATTTATGCTGCACGGAATAATTGGAATGAAAGTAACGAAAAGTCCATGTTCTAGAGTCAATGAATCATCACTTCTCAGTAATAACCTCAAGCCAATAATCTAGTCACACAGAAAATAAAATTCCTGTAAAGTGACGAAGTAGAAACTCCGAGAATGTAATTACATCATTGTCAGGTAGGCTCAAAATTCGCGACAGAGCGCAAGAAAATGGCCGTGAAATAGGTTTCGCTGGAAGCACTATTCAATTATTCCGTCAGTTTAGTATTCTCTCATACATCACGCCCGATGCCATCGAAACGGTGTCGTATCTCAATTAAAATCACGAGAAGGTAATCAACCGAATAATATTCTCGCAGCGCGCCGCGCGGAGGGAAGCCATGGCTGCAATTCAAACAGTCCGCAGCGAACGGCGATAATAACGCCTCGTTGGGAAATATCGTGAGTCTCGAATCAAGTTGCTCGGCACATTTAATCGTGCCGAGTACGAATAATCGTAATGATTCCCTATCATCTCACTTAAAAGTGACAAATAAAAGGAGATGCATTGAAAAAGAACACTTTCGTAGGAAACCACGACGAAGTGTGTCGGATCAGCGACAAGGATACAGCACGCGAAACTGGTTCAACAGGAAGTGATCAGGTTACTCCTTGCCGCACGGGAATCTTTGCTCAGCGATTTAGCTGATTTAGCACGGCTCCTCCCGTCATGCCAGCAAAGATCGCTCGAGCTCGCTCAGAACACGCACAAAGAAATTACCAAGGTTGTTCGATATTGTTCGTCACGATCGTCTTTTACTCTTTTAACGTTTCCTTTCTCATTTTTTTCGAATTCTACGAAGGTTTGCTCAGTGATCTTGAAGCGTCTTTCGCGTGATTACAGATGATGGACACGGAGGAAACTGATATCGCTCAACTCTGCGCACAAAATATTGTTCTCTGGCAGCATTTTCTGGAAGCGTTCTCGGGACGTGAGGCCGTTCATCAGCATCTCGCTAGGATTCATCATCAACTGAGGGTAAGAAACCGTTCTACTATTGTTTCCTTTGGAACCTTTATTTGCCATTTATATATGTATTTTTTAAATCGAATTATAGCTTTAGTTTATCTTTATTTAATATCGAATAGGATATTTCTCATGGAAATTGCAGCGCTTCAAAAGTATTAATGTCTTGTGACCTTTTAGATAGTTTCAGTGTGTCTGAAGTAACACGTTTCGTACTTGGGAAATTGTAGTAAACGGTATTTTAGATTATAGGTAGTAATAACAGGCCTATAAGAGAGACACGAACTTTATCATTTCTATATGATTTATGTAACTAAAAAATTGGTTTTTAGGTGAAACGTTTCGCAGAAGGTTTCTTCGTGCTCGAGAATCCCAGGACTTCAGCCTGGGGTTGCTACGATGCGAACTACCAGTCTTACCAGGCAGTCAGTGAGGCCGCTAGGAGATCACGGTATCTAATGTCGTTACCACCTCTACCTGTCCACTGTCCAGAACTGGATGGGGACATTCACTCGCTGCCTGTGATATTCGAGGATCAGTACGTAGACATGAAGCAGAGGCATAGAAACAGCGGTGAGCGTTGTTCTAATCATTACATAGTTTCTACCACATTTCTTTTCCTCTATCTTCAATTCGGTAAAACAAAATTCTAATACACCAATATTTAAAAACAATCAACGAATTATAATCTTCGTAATTTAAAAAAGAGTGTATAAACATCAACTTTGCACTGTTTCATGACCGTTTCCATCTCATTTTTCTTCAATCGTGCATCTTAATCTTAATCATACACAACTACCAATATCACCACCAGAATTAACTCGTAGATTGATAAAATTAATAATCTTCAATTCATTTTCTCTCCAATCTCATCATTAGACATCTTCATCTCTACCAGAGGAACACTCCATTAAATCAATCTATACAACAATCTATGCAATAATCTATGCAACACTCATTCATCCTCAACCCAACGAAAACTAACGAAACCAAAATATAATCCAACAATTCCACAACGGGTCTACTAAAATTTCTCAACTTCCAGTTCCCGGAATGGACGACTGCAGCTGCGGTATAGCGGCGATCCTCGAGTCGCGTTCGATGGGTATCTGGTCGCCCAGGAGCGAGGGTGCTAACCAGGACATAGGCATGGTGCAGGGTCGCCTGACCCTGACTCCTTCCACGTTACCCGCGAGGCACAGCAAATCCTTGGACCAACTAGGACCCGAGATCGCTCCAGTTCAGCCAAGGACCTCGCCGAAGACTCTGCCGCGGTCGGTGTCTACTCAGCTGTTCCCTCGACAAAGGGGTGGCGCGAGGAACGCCACGCCACCGGCGACGGTGCCTTCTCGCGGGAGACAGAGGTCGACAGCACCGTCCAGTAACACGCTGTTCCCTCCTTCGGGACAGCAAGCGTGCTCGGCGCCGAATCCTTCTCTAGGATCGACGCCAGTGGTCCCGCTGCCGCGGGCAAAGTCCACGCAGATGCTGGTGCTAAACAGGCAGCAGCAGGCTGATCCACAAAATACTTCCATCACGTCGCTACTAGCCGCCATGTTCCCTGAGTTACCTCCTGGGGGACAGTTGCCAGGGTACCGGCCCTCGAAACAGTCCTGCGAACAGACACTGACGGTGCCCACTTGCGTGGGAACCATAGATCACACACAGATGACGGACTGCTGGACCGAGAACAAGGCTGAAGGTATCGGGTCGAAATTTGATACTGGTGAAGGCGTTAGTAGGGTTTCTCGCGGTGAAAGGCGAAGGGGATGGGGGTCCACTTGGATCAGTTATTGTAGCCTGTAGAGACGAGATATCTCATTGTGCTGTCTAGAGATGATAAGTAGGTTACGTAGACCTATATTCCTATATAGGTCTTGGCATCTAATACTATGACCATTGTTTAGAGATTAACAGATTAGCTTCTGGCATACGTATTTTTGTCGCTGAAGTAGATGTAACTGGCTAAACTTCTACGTAGAGAACAGCATCAAAGATAGAAACTCGATGAAGTACTCTTTCACCCAGTCGTCTATCTCATATAACTTCAACAAAACATCTCCGAAACTTACCAAAACTACATTAGTACCACCTAGAAATCACCCAAAATCCTCCAACTAACAATAAACCCTTTCAGACTACCACTCGCTGGACACAAGGAGGATCCGTCTAGAGCCGCGCAGCCACCGCTTAGCAACGCGTCAGCCGCTGTCCACGGTGACCGACCAGAACAGCTTCCTGCCGGGCAAGAGCGTGAACGGGGACAGCTTCCTACAGGAGCAGCAGCCGCTGCACACGGCGACCCTGGACCGCGTAACGTACCGCGGCAACTCGCGGAAACAGACCCACCAGACGGGCGGCAAATACAATCAGGCGAACGGTCTGGAGTCCCGTAGGTACCACACGATCGGCAAAACCGGTTCGAGCCAGGGCCAGCGGAACCGCGAGATCCAGGAGTCGATGAACGGCGGCGGAATGCCGGCCGGTCATCCGGCGATGACGGACCCCCTGTACAAACGATCGAATTACTCCGCGGCTACCACGGACTCGTTCTTTTACCGCACGAACGGGACCAGCGGCCGAACGCACGCCGAACCGGACAGGCCGAGGCGGCCGAAGAGCACCGAGAGGCTGGTCGACGACGCGGACCGCAACGAGTACTGCGACTTCCGCCGCGAAAGGCCGAGGAGGAGGGAGGAGAGGCCGGCGATGAAGTCGCCCAGGAACGGCGCGCCGCCTTGCTACGACGAAGCGCACAGGAGAGCGCAGATCGACGACAAAACGGAGGTGACCAACGAAATGTTCTATAAGGTGATGACAGCCATGTCCGAACCGAAGAAGGAGCAACGGCCGGAAAGGAGGAAGGAGAGACACGGGAGGAGGCCGCATTCCGCGCCAGTTCTGGATGTTGATCATCCTGCTGAGGATAACAGGAAATGCAGCCATAGGAACCGGAAGCCGGCGCCTCCGCCTCCCGCGTACCAGGATCCGGCGGTCGCGCCACTGCCCAAGTACCGGCATCCACCCCCAGCGCTTACGACCAGTGTCTTGGAGGTGGAGAATAATAATAAGATTATTCTGAAGGTATTAAGATTGATGTGTTTTAGGGATTCCTGTGAGAGGAATGTTTGGATGATTTATTGTGCAGTATTATAATAACTTTCTTGCAACTTTGGTCGTTTTTATAGGAATATGCGTCTTAATTTTTAAATCTCTTATTTCCAAGATTTAAAAAGATCAAACGAGCATTGATGTCTCTATGAATAATAGAGTAAACTGTACAATAAACGTCTGTAAATCTAGTATTAAGCCAAGGTTAGAAATTTCTCTAGCGATTCGGAAAGTGGGATATTCGTTTGTTAGTAGTTGCAATTAGTTTAGGGGATACTGCGTTCTTAACACTAGAACTACCAACCAGTAAAATTGATTATTCTGCATTTTCTTATAAAACTTATAAAAATTGATTGAGTTTTCAATCTCCTTATATTCTAGTTTGTATTTATCTAAATCAATCAATTATAATTGCGAAAGAGACCCAAAGTGCATCATTTTGACCCATCTGGTAATTCCAGTGTTAAATTCTGAAATCTTCTCCACTTCGTACTTCGCTCGCTCTTATTCATAAATCCTTGAATCGCAGGTGGAGCCAATCAAGTCCCCGATAGAGGCGCCGGCGACGAACGGGACCACTCCGTCGGACACGTCAAGCGGGGGCGGGCCGCTGCCGAACACGAAAAGACTGAGATGCGCGAGCGTGCCGGTGGCGCAGAACAAGGTGGTGGTGCCGCGGAGCGCGGTCTCTTTGCCCTGCATGCCGATCCGGGATAGCAAGGACAGCCTTAGCAACAATCTTCCCGTCATTCCGAATCCGCTCAGCCCACCGTCCAGCAGACCGAGCAGCCCGACCACGAGCTCGAGCTCCAGCAACCTCACGTCCGAATGTTCCGGCTGGGTCAGCAGCGGGGACACGTCTAGCTCCGAGCAGCGTCGCAACGCGAAGCTGTCTAGCGAGCAGCTGCGGCAGAAGTTGTCGAAGATAGTCCCCAGAAAGGAGCGACCGCCCGCCAAAGAGCCAGTCGAGGAACATTCTTACGAAGAGGTGCGACTTCCGCCGCCGAAGATGTTCCAGGACGAGCCACCGCCGCCGGAGGAGTTCAGAGATCCGCCAGCGATCATCGATAATCCTCTTTATCACGTTTACGAGACGGTGAAGCCGATCAGGAGCCCGAAACAAACGAAAACCGCGCCCTGCAGCCCGCAGAAGAACAGGGAAAGAGAAAGGGAACGAGGGAGGGAACCTATATACGGCGCTAGGGACATCTGTCTAGATTGCTATCAGGAGGGCAAGGAGCTGCTACAGTCTACCCAGGACGATTCGATCAATTTCAAGAAGTGCAAAGAGGAGTTCAAAAGACAGATGAGCTTCTCCGGGAAGATCTACAGGTGCGACTTTGTGTGCACTTAGCGATGTCCTGCATTTGGCTACTTCTTTTGAACACCTTTTAGCTGGGGAAGTTATTAGCTGTTTGATTGGTTTTGAGTATAAGAGTATAAGTTTTTGGGTATAAGAGTTTCAGTGTTGTTCGTTTTGATTTCTCTTTGCACCTTTTTGTTTTCTTCTTTGGTTTCGTATGTGTTTTGAGTTGATTTGATATATTTTGAGAGCAGCTTCTTCAGTTTCGTCCGCTGTTCGGGTCTGTCTTTATGTTTCGTAGTTAAGTTTCTCTTTATCTACCTTATCCCCTCTAGAGAACGCAAGGATCCGCAGTTGCGTTTCCATAAACGTGCCCATTCCCTTGGATACGGTGACCTCATGACCCCGTCGTCGGTAAAACCTCTAAGATCGAATGTGACTATCCTACCTCTTAGTGACTATCCGACCCTGGCCTCGACCATGCCGTACTTCCACATCAGCAACGAGTACCGGCTCTTCTCGCCGGAGGGTGCCCACTTGATCATCTGCGTCCACGGTCTCGAGGGGAATGCTGCCGATCTGCGTCTCGTCAAGACCTACTTGGAGCTGTGTCTTCCCGGCGCGCATCTAGATTTTTTAATGTCTGAGAGGAACCAGGTGAGCCTGAACGAATATGACCAACCTAACGACTCTTTAAATCGTGTTTATCAAATTCAATGAAAGTTTGCTGATAGTTTGAGATTGGTTGAAATTGTTTGATGACTGATGAACGATCGACTGGCTGTTTTAAAACTACTATTTATAGACGAGGTCATGTTTGGAACGAATGTTTGAAAATGTATGACTTAGTTTCCACTTATTTGAATCTGTTTAAGACTGATTAACGATTTGAGAAACATTACTTTAACGAAGTAATAATTGTTTTCGAATACCCAGTTCAATGAAACTTGTAGTTGTAAATGTGTTGGTTTGGTTGTCGATCGTTTGAAACTGTTTAAGATCGTTTAACAACTAAATAATCGGTCAAAAACAATTATTAGAGTTCAGGGAAACTCAACGTCGCTTTCTATAAATTTCTAACATAGGACAATCATTGGAAAATCTGTTGCTAGGCTTCTGATCATTACTGCGATAAGCATTGAATTAATTAAATTACTTTCCTTTGATTCGGTAAACAGGGCGACACTTTTTCGGACTTCGACACGATGACTGACCGACTGGTAGACGAGATTCTACACCATATCGAGACGTCGGGCCTGAACCCGACAAAAGTGAGCTTCATCGGACACTCTTTAGGGACCATCATTATACGAAGCGCTCTGACGCGGCCTCAATTGCGACCGCTTCTACCGCGACTGCACACTTTTCTCAGTCTGAGCGGCCCGCATTTGGGTACACTCTACAACACCAGTGGTCTAGTTAACGCGGGTACTGTGTCTTAATAATTTCAAATAAACGCGATCGATACGAAACGAACGAAAGCGGGACTAACAAGACCATCGATCTCAAACCCTGTCCAGGCATGTGGTTCATGCAGAAACTGAAAAAATCGGACTCGCTGCTACAGCTGGCTATGAAAGACGCGCCGGATGTCAGACGGTCCTTCATGTTCCGCCTCAGTCAGAAGAGCAATCTCGAGAAGTTCAAACACGTTCTTCTTTGCGGCAGCGCGCAGGATCGATACGTGCCGCTACATTCCGCGCGCATAGAGCTCTGCAAAGCCGCCGTGCGAGACACCTCCGATCAAGGTAATCGACCGTACTTTTCACGACGGTACAGTTTTATCCGCCGCAGAAGGGAGTTCTTTAATCATTATAATATACTGTGCTAAATCCTGTGTCCCTGTTCGAATTCGTTGCTCTTCGTATAAGTTTAATCGATAAAATGGAGTGAAACTAAGTTTGGATTTCTTATCTTGATCTGGTTATTCCGTTTCTTTGCTATTGATATTCATCCTTCGGAATAATTTCTCATTGAACATTTGAATATTTTTCTATTGAAAATACTAGCGATTTTTCAGTGAACATGGAATTTTTCTTTTATAGAAAATTCCAGGATATACATATATTGTCTTTAATTCATTTTATATTATTCCTTTTTTCCCAAAATTTGTTTACTAGAAATATTCAATATTTTCTGATGTACTATTGAAGAGACATATGTAAATCAAGTGGTGACTAAGATTCATCTCTCCAGTGCAAACGGTTATATCATGCAATTATTACTCTATATTTCACAAAGCAAAAGAGAAAACCCTTAAAGAGATCAATCCTTTAGCTCCCTGTAGAATCGCCTTGTAACCACATATCCAATATCAGTAAAATATAAACCAGTAGACTAGTAACGAAGCCACCAGTACAAAATCGATATAATAATAACCACCTACTTCTTCGACAGCTAGAATAGCATTTTTCCGTTTTTGGAACATTTCTTATACAATAAAGGCTCTAAGAACTTTTCCTCATTACGTATAAATGACATATTGCACTAGAGAATACTGTAATAAAATCAACACCACCTTTTCTGTATACATATCCTTTTAAAAATAAATAATTCAGCATGCTCTAAAATTTTCAGTCAGAGCGTTTAAAAAAGAAACTAATGTTTGTTTTCCAGTATAATAATAATTTAATGTATAGTATTCAACATATTATACTTAGTATTTCGTCGCCATATCCTTTGGTTTAATCACAGCCGCACGTCGATGCGACATGGACTCAATTAACCAGAAACGATCTAGCCAAGGACTTTTAAACGCCACTGTATATTATGAAACAGATGTATTTTTCCTACAAATTTCTATTGGAAACCGTTTTAAGACAGTTAACCCTTCCGCTACGTTGGGCCTCGCCGCGAAGTCCCTCGTGTAGAACGGAGCGCCGTGCCAAAAGTGAGAACATTAACCGTTTGAGACCCAAGCGGCGCGATGGCGGTTCTCAGTTACATCGTCTAAAAGTGGCAGTCTATCGTAGAATCAGATGAAGCTTATTTATTTCTTTTCCTTCCAATTATTCATTTTTATTTTTGTTATTATTCACTTAAGACTGGAATAATGCAACGATCGCACTATTTAAAATTTGTTTCTATAAAAATGGAAAGGCGTCGTTCAGTTTCTAAATTGAACCGAAATAAGCGCGATCGCGCCGCTTGGCATTCTCCGACCGGGTTTTTGCAAAAAACAGTCTACGGTCTTCAGTATTCGGGGCGATTTATCTAAAAAAACGCCGTTGTGACGCTGCTTTTAAAAGCAAAATGATTTGTGTCCATAACAATCTGTTTATAATTTTTCCATGAACGTACTTTTCTTATTGTTTACATCGTCTTAATTTTTGTCTCCATTTTTGCGACCGGTGACTATAGTCACCCGTAGTAGCGAAAAAGTAAACCGTCACTCTTACATCAAAATGACGTTCCCGTTGTCACTGATACGATGTTGCAGGCGCAGCGTACCGCGAGATGGTGAACAACATCCTGTACCCGGTGATGTCCACCGCGGGGGTGAGTTTGGTCAGATACGACGTGCACCACGCGTTGCCTGCGACGGCGAACGCGCTGATCGGCCGCGCCGCGCACATCGCCGTCCTCGACTCCGAGCTCTTCATCGAGAAGTTCCTGCTGGTGGCGGGTCTGAAGTACTTCAGATAAGGAACGGATGATACTTAGCGCAGCAAAAGGCGCGAAACTAGCGGTTCAAACTAAAATAGCGAATCTAGCCAACGGGAACGGGGGATCAGTCCGTTTCCCTCGAGCAGAACGGAGAGGATTCTCGTGACTCTCCGACGCTGCGTTTAGGATTAATTAAGCCCACGGACGTACCGTCGGAATTGCCTCGCTTCCCAGCCACCCCTGATCCATCAATTCCCTCGTTCATCTTCCTTCCATCGTAATTAACCCCTTAGCTGTGCTCTTTTTGAAAGTGTGCGTCTACATTGTGTCGCTAGATGGGTTGACGATTATCCCATTCGAGATTAAGATTCTTTTGAAACACATCATCGGTTAGGATTCAAAATTTGATAGCGAAGAACTTAAGATTTTTGTGTATTCGTTGGTCTATGAGAATGTTGATTAATCATTCAACTCATTTGAAATCGGAGTTAGTTTTGAAAGCAGTCTTTAGCAGCTAAGATTTAAAATTGGATAGTAACGGATTTCAGATTTTTGTGTATTCGTTCGTGTACGAGAATGTTGATTAATCATTCAAGTCATTCGAGATCATGGTGATTTGTAAAAGGTCCCCAAGATCGAACACTCGACATCATCACTTATACCATTAACATTTTCTGCAATCCCGACGATCTTGATATTCACCTTGCCTTGAAACCAGTGCGTTTCAATTTTTACACAACTTTAACTTATAGTACTATCTAACATAGTAATCTAACTTTTCACTTCTAACTGATAATACAAATTCATGATCATTACACACCTGGTGTATAATTCATCTCGAATGGGTTATATTCGTCGAAGCAAGTATCTGCAGCTGCTGTAAAATTGGATGAAACTGGAAGAAAATGCGAACAACTTCTTTCTAAAAAATCAATAATACACTCGTGGTTACACAAGAGAATCGGTATTTCTTCGCGTATATTCGCCGTTCACAGTTAAGAGGTTAACAATTGCGAACAGTGATCACAATGGCACGATGAAACTTGTGATTACTAGTTGTCTGTCTTCTTCACTCGGTCGCAAAGGGATCGTCGAGGGAACGGGGCAATTCGGCGATTTTTACACGGGACGCGGACACATCGTTCGGACGCATCGTTTTAGTCGATCTGTTTCTCTCGTTAGGTTCCTACGCGAAATTCTCGTCGCGGTGTCGCCACGCCTTCATCGACGCTTCATCGAACTCATCGAATGGACTGTTTACGATTGTACCGGATCGGGCCTACACGCAGCTCGTCTCTCGAGCTGAATGTTGTTTGTGCGGGGAACGGTTGGGGGTTGAAGATCGTTGAGGGTAGTTTGATGCTATCTGATTCGTTCGTTTGATTTCTGTGGTTCTTTATCGTTGTTCATTATACTAAATAGCAAGCGTGTTTAACAATGAGAAAGATCATCGCTGGAATCCAGGTGATCGGAGTTTTCGTTGCTTCCGTTCATAAGTTATAAGACGTTCAGATAAATATAAGAATGTTCGGGGTTCCATTATTCAAAGGAAGGACGTGTGTAAATTCAGTTGGATGTTGCATTTTTTACCTGTTTGTAACTATAACATGTGATTGTATACTAGTGCGACGAATAGACGATAATTTCAAACATGTTACATACTTTTCTTTTATATGCTCGTTTCATTGTAGACTGTATATTTTTTAACATTACGATCGGTTCATTTATTTTTTGAAGCTTCTCAAAGTCTCTCCTTCTGATGAAAACATTTAAACCCTGTTAATATCCAAGGATAATAAGAATATTGCACTAAGAATAGTGCTCCTGATTGCATTTTCTCGATCAAGGTTTCAAGTGGAGACAAACGAAATCTTGAAATGAATCACGCCGTAATTTGCATTTTCTTTAAAAGAATAAATCGTTGGATAACTCACGAAGAATATCTTATTATTATTTGATCATTCAATACTGCTGCATATTTTAATTAATGTTATTCTACTTATAAGATCGTTCATTATTTATAAAGCTCGAATAGAACTTTCCTTTTCTTATCAACTGCTTTTCTTGCGTACCTCGAGAAAAACGAGGGATCGAAGATGAAACACCGTCAAACTGCCCTAAACGTTGACCACGATCGAAGTATCGAATTCTCGGCCTATCGCGGAACCCGGATGGCCGTCGAGGAAACTCACGCTCACGATCGAGAAGGAAGATCGCGAGATCGAGGGACGTCGGCGCCGAGATCGATCGGATGATCCTCGGGGCGGCGTCCGTTATCGTCAGTCGCGTCATCCCCTTCGAACCGGAAACGGTACGCGACGAATCGTACAGTTGGGAGATGACTTGATGCCTAGTGGATAGACACAGAGGCAAGAAGAATCCTTCTAATTTACAGTTCTATAATTTATTATATAACGATTTAATTTATAACGATTTCATAGAGCAAAACAGACAAAATGAAAAAATCTAACGTTAAATCATTTGATTGAATTGCAATCTTATTATCGCATGATTTAGTTGAATGCCGTCGTATTAGTTAACGTTATTTATAATATAGAAGTCTTTTCAAGTAATCATCTTTTAACTGAGTGAATTATAGTAATTTGACTGAGAGTCACCGGTGGCCTCCACGGTATTCAACTTGTTAACGATCGAAAATATTAGGAAGATAATAAAATCAGCAGGAAATTGATGGAGAAAAAAGAAAACTGATCGATCAACCGAATTCCTCAGCCTAGTCATTAAGTGATCTCCCTACAGTACACTTGAAAACCGAGGAAACCTCGGTTTCATCCTCTTCATCATTTCTTTCCATTCCTTTCTTCGACTTCTCCCGATCTCGAGAAGCGACGTGTCGCTCGCCGTGACTCCAGCATGGTGTCGAGACCGAATACAGCGATGCTCGGTCAAATTTTAATGAATATTCCTCACTCTTCTCTTACCGCTGACTGTCTCAAATTCATACTGTCAATGCAACTTGATCTAAGATCGGTCTCTACTGAGGCAAGGGAAGCAGATGAATAGAATGAGCGGAAGGGAAACAGATGATCACTTCAGTGAGGTGCTGCAACGTAAACAATAATGGCATAGTGATGAAAACTTCAATTTCAGTAATTGTCTTTCAGTATCAAAGCAATTCAGTTTATTGCGATTTTTCTGCTTAATATGAGCTCTAGTTTCGGCGATTCGGAGGTAGTTAACCCTTCAATTTCGTTTGGGTGAAACTAGTCCGATTTACATGGTGTTTAGACTCATTTTAATTGCAACAATCTCGACAATCCATTGGCACTACATTTGAGAAGGTAAAATTGAAATTAATGAAATTGATATTTTCTGCATTTCATGTTCATGTTTCGTGTTCGCGGCGTCCCTTTGCTACGAGCAGTTAAACTGACGTTTTGAAATTCCTCTATAGAAACTTGAAGAGTCCATAAGAGACTTCAATTGATTTATAATTCATTTTTCGTATTGCTAAATCAATTTATTGAATGATTTCTCAGAGAAACATCTGTTATCTTTACAACAATTGCAAAATAGGGAAATCAGGAATGGGTGATTTTCACCCGTCTGGTGGATCAGGTCCCGAAATCTTAAGATTTAACCGAGCACCGCTGTAAACTGTAAGATATATCGAGAAAAATTCCAAAAACAAATGGGAAAATGGGAGACGGGGGATAACAAATCGAAGTATATAAATACAAGACAATGTAGAGAAGCATTGTCTAGACGCTAGGAAAGTTACGAAACGTATGTCAATTGTTACTCTCAGATAAGTGTGAGTGAGTGCGGTGCGTGGCTAAACGAATGAGAGAGAAGCGAGAGTGAAATCTAGTGTGAGAGAGAGAAAGCGAGAGAAAGAAAGAGAGAGTATTCTAATTAAACAAAATGGCAACGCGAAACAGACGAGCAGAAACGAAAACGTGAAACGACAAAAGGACACAATCGGCATAACGAATCATACTGAAGGGGAACGGGGACAAAAGTGTCCTCTGGTTTCAGTGATGATCGTTGAACAGTGGAAAATGACGAACGGGAGCAACGAGGAAGAGGAGGATGAAAACAAGGACGAAGATGCTTCCGAAGACGAGAACGAATTTTGGAAGACACGAATGGAATAGTGACTACCATTTCAGGTATATGAAATCCCTCCAATACTAGATCTCAATTGCTCAGAACAATCTAATTAAAGAAAAAGAAAAAGAGAAAAAAAAATGATAAAAACGTTATACATTATTCGTAATCGAAGGCAACGAAGGCGCGTCGCGTCGCGCCTGGCAATTGCTGAATCGTGAATATCATCGAAAGAGTGGGAGAGAGAGAGCGAGAGAGAGAGAGAGAGCGAGCGAGAGAGAGAGAGAGGATGCGTTAATTAAGAGTTTTTCAGTATACCCAGAAAACGGACGAGAGGAATAAACGTCGACGGCGAAACGAGACTCGCTGTGCGACTGCAATTTGTCGTTCCCTCTGTAATCTAGAGGAAATAGTTGTTTCCTTTTAAAACAGAGTGGTCTGTAATTGGTGGGATAATCGAGGAGCGAGTGATTCTACGTGGAAAAATATATTAGAAATGTACAGTAGGATTTGTTCGCTTGCGGCTCCGTTTTCGAGGAAACCGGGTTTGAATATTTGTAGAATATACGTGTAATTGGCTAATTGATGATAGATTTTCAAGCTTTATCCTTTCGAGAACGAGGCTTCAATTGAGAATATTTCATTGTACGTTTTCTGACTTATTTATTTATGCAGATTCACTTGCTTCCTGGTTGAATGATTAGTTACGAGACACTCTGTAGAATTGAAACTTAATCTATAGTGATCATTACTGCGACACTTGGTGTTCGAGTTCGTTCTTTGCTGAAAGAATAATATTTCATTCGTCTTTAGTAAAGCGTAAATGCAATATTGATTATTTTAAATATTGAAATTTGTTTTCAAATGAATTGTTACGTAAATTCGAATCTTTATTGTTGAACTCCAGAGACGTAAAGCTATGAAAGAAGTCATAAGTTAATAGAAAACAAAACGATAGACGATTTTAATCTCAGGTGTGTTTCTTCAAAGAAATCAATTACAATTTATCAATTTGTATAGCTTACCATTTCATTTATCAAATAAAATTCCAAAAATTCTCTAACTCCATTCCAAGCCACAAACGACTCGCACCGAGTGGACAACAATTTTAGTCGTCGCAGCGATTATTCAACCACGCGACGTTCAAATTGCCAATCGCACAGCGGTCCTCCGCGTAGTATCGTTAAGTGTAAACCCACACCGCCCACTGTAAACGTTCACCCATGCAAATTGTATACAATGCCCGTACGTGTAACGCCTTTACACCGTGTAACAGGAGTTCGGTGTAGACATCGTGTTCCGACTGCGAGCACAACCATTATCAGGACCAGAACCGGTGCTCATTGTTCGCCACGAAGCTGCGAAGCACAAAACGAGAAAACAAGTCAGTCCCCGGGAACATTTTCCTCGTTCGGCTGAGAGTCGCGTCGCATCGTTCCGTTTCGATCTCCGTCGTGGACACTCTCGATCGTCGATCAACCGTCTGTAACCGTTGTTAACTGGTCTTCGCAATAATCCGCATCGAAAAGTGCCAAACAGCGCGATCGCGGTTCTTTCGTCTCAGACACTGAATTACGCTTTTCTATTTTCACACGAGAGATTTCGAAATAGTGCGGTCGTTGCGTTTTTCCATTTCTAAGCAAGCAATAAACAGAAATCGAGATAGATGATCAGAGGGAAGACGAATAAATAAACTTCATTTGATTCTACGAAACGATAGGCTGACACTTTTACGCAGTTCACCGGAGAAGCGCGATCGTTTGGCACTAGAACGATTAAACGGGAGCGGGATCGTGAAACGAGCCCCGAGAACCTCGAGAGAACGTTGAAAAACGAGGCAACCCGCGAATAACGATTTTTTTATTGAACTTTTTCACTCGGACGATTGATTCTTCTCTTTTTTTGTTTTGTAGAAATTTCTTTTTAGGCACGTTCGTGTTCGTAGCGCGCAATAACTGTGGCAATATCGTTGTATCGATGTACGACTTGTGCGAGTGTTGTCCAGAAGTAATAAACGATTATTGGAATTCACAGGTGGATCGTTGAATTCGAATGGAAGTGCTGAAGCAATCGTGGATGTATTCATTTCGTTTCCCTGGGTGGGCCGGACGCGAGAAATGATTTTACTTGTGGAAATAAGCGGGAAAATGTGGAAAGAAATTTTTTATTGTAACGCTTCGTTTTGAAGATAGTCGAATCTTGCGGATATTTCTGGGGAAATCGGATTTAGTGTGTCTGGCTTACTTTTAGAGCAGACTTTTGAAGTCAATTATTTAAAGAGCGAAGCGTTATGGGAAAGAATTTTTATCGTGTGAGTGGAGTTTCAGATTGAACGCGTTATTTGTTACTTATTTTTACATGTAGATTGATTTTTTGTCTTGGTCCACCCTGTACATTCATTCCTGGTGTATACTTTGTGGAGTAATTCCATTGATATCGGCGAAACGAATGTGGAAATGTAATGAAAAAGGAAGCGAAATGATTAAACTTCGTTTGTTCTTTTGTTCTAAGCCGCTCACATTGATCATCGTTGATTTAACCCTGCTGCGGCCTGTGGATCTTCTTCAACCCAGTAATGTTTTAATTATTTCAATTTTATTACGTTCTTTTTAATACATTATCGATAGACATTAATTTAAAAGATCAGAGATATTAATTAGAAATATAAACAATAACTAATATAATTTCCTAAAAATTATTTCACATAATTTCAGTAAAAGATCTAATTTAACAAAACCATTACACTGTCCCAAGCAGACGTACACCGCCAACAATGCGTTAATTGAAGAGAAGTATTTATTTACAAGGAAATCGTCACTATTTTTTCAATTGATGAATTCTAATAATGTTACCAGTTTAGTTTATGAATTCCAGTAATGTTAACAGTTTAATTTACGAATTCTAGTAATGTTACTAATTTCCAATTCGTGAATTCTAGTATTGTTACTAGCTTCGGGTTTACGAATAACGTCGCCGATGTTTAGAAGAACCATGTGCCGCAGCAGGGTTGAAAAATGGTCGCACACTTGTCGACACTCCCTTTTTGTAATATGTTTGCAATGTCTGGCGCAGGAGTGTACCTCGAGCGTAGATGCGATTGCGAGACAACGAGCGTGTTCGGCGTTCCCCTTCGACGTTTTTAGTGCACACATATCGGGGGACGCGGCACTCCGCGTCGTTGTCGACGGGACGCGTCTTTTTTCTGCGGAAACGCGCTGTCTCGAGGGCGAGGAAACGCGTTTCATTCCCCCCGTTGTCGATCGATACGAAGAAACTCGCCGCGGATCCGGCACAAAGGGGTGGAAAGGACTCGACGACAATGAAGACCCTCGAGGGGAATCCGCGGACGCCGCGCGTTTCGCGTATTTCGCGTGGGAAACGGTCGAAGGAATTGTTTTTCCTCCGTTATTTCGTTTATCGTTAGACACCGTTGCTTGCTCAACTGCGCGCGTCGCCGTATTTTGTCGCGCGATCGACGTTATCGACCGGGAATCGATTTTGTATCCCGTAATCTTAAGTTTCTACTAGGCGAGACACGGTTTCGCGCGCCGACAAGATGGCGGCTGGTGTCAAGCCGGCTCACACTTACGAGAACACTTGCAGGAGATAGGTCGGAGATATTTTTAAGAAATGTTTCCGATTTTTGTTTGTACATCGGTTAGGTAAATATAGAGAAGCGGAATAATGAGTAAAACGAATAAAAGAAAAGAATATAAATGTATTTGAACTGTATCGGACGTGGCGAACTTTGGATATTCTTGTATGTTATAAGTACTTTAAATTTGATAAAAGTAAAGTCTACTTGTCAGTGTAGAATTAATCTGAATGTAACTAAATTAGTACACAGAAACTGTAATGAATGAATAATTCATTTGTTTCTAATAAGATCAGTGTTTTAAATTATGAATTAAAGATATAAATTTCGATGCTTTCAAATGTCTGGAATCAATTTATTAATATTTATCTTAAGGAATACATAAATGATTTTACTTGTCAACGATATCTTCAGTGTTCTCATAAGAGTGAAGGATGCAGCGTAGAAATTAATAGAAAATCATCGATATAAAAGTTGTCCATTGTCAGTGGTCTTTTCGTCGACGATTTTCAGAAGTGTAGAAGTGTAACATTTTTCTTTTTCGAGGATTATTATTTTCATTGTTTTAAAACATCTTCGACGCAATTTCCGTCGTGTAGAAAATGAACGATACGAACGAGGATTGAACGAGAGCAAGGGAAAATGAAATTCTCGCGCGACGACGATGGAAGCGATACTTTCCAAGCGATCGTTCGCGATTCTTCTTCTTTTGATCGCGGGGCCGACGAACCGTCTCAGTGAAACTGGGAACAACGATCGGCTCGGCTAAAGATTAGTTTGACTAACACGAGAACGAAGCGAGAAAACGATTGTTGACCAGATCGTGCGTTAGTATGAGAGCGAGAGAAAGAGAGGGCGAGAAAGAGAGGCGAGTATTGAATAGAGAAGATAACGGAGGACAGAGTTGTTTTTGGATAAGAACGTTTGTAGTTGCAAAAGCAACGTCGATGAAGAAGTAACAACAATGTATACACTATACATAATATATGGATACATATGAAAAGTGAATAAATCTACGTATACATAAATGAGATAGATTAATACAAAATGAAATGTCTGGTATTATTATCGAAACCTCTTGTCCAACCTCATAATTTTGGTGTTTTTAATAATATCGTTATTCTTAGTAATTATTATTTTTGTAATAAAATGATTGTATTCAATGTTGTACCTTGTTTTGAATAATTTACATTGAAGTAATGTTTATATTTAAAACTTTCTCTTTAATAACTGAGAAGTTTAAAAATTACTTAACAATATCGTGCAATTTTTGCATTTTTCGTTAAATTCATCCTGAAACGGAAACAACTGATAAAACGTGCAATGAGGTAAATAAGGAAACCCATAAATTGTCAATCGGTATACTTTTATTCGTTTAAAATAACAGGCCAAGGCACGTCATGATCGCCACCGAAAAAACACTCGGTATCAAGGTAATCGTGTTCAATAGAAAAAAAGAGCAATAACAATAGATCCCGTTCGATCGACAATTTAAAAAGCGGAATCGTGCAAATGTATCTTTCGTTCACGAGAGAAAGAACGAGGAAAAGTATCCGAACAAGCGAGAAATACTTGAAGGCCCTTAAAACACGCGAAGCAGTCATCAATACAATACACGAATAAATAAAATCCCGGTGAAAACACGAACCATGTTTCCAAT